CCACACTTTTGAACTCAAAATATAAACGAGTCGAACACGAGCTTCAGCTCGTTTACAGCCCTACGCATCAGTGGTTTTCTCTATACTAAAAAATAAATGATAATAACTAGCTTTTATTTCAAATATATACCGCTAATAATAATAAAAACTAGAAATTTATCCGTTATTTGTTTTATTCAGTAAATATATCCGAATATTTATATTACATCAAAATCTCTCAAATTTTTATATTTCTACAATACAATAAGAAGAATATTTTGCTCTCAAACTTAGATTTTATTCCTTATTGTTCTTAGGTTATTGCTTGTATGCTCCAAAAATTAAAAAATGGCCTCTAAAATTGAGAATGAAGGATGAGGAAAGTTTATTGCGAGCAGTGGTGAAACAAAGAGGTGGGAGTGTTGATGGCGACATTCACCCGTCTAGATTCTTAATAGCTGTGTAATATCATATTATACATTAAAAAATTTTCCCCATTGAAGTTTAACACTGTCATTGTCAGTACCAAATCCAGATGTGAAAAGTGGAGGATTGTGTTAGGTAATCGACAGCCAACGTAAAACCTGTTGAAAAATCATGACAAGAATCATTTTGATCATTGTGTAAGTGCTAGGGCATCCCATGGAAGTGACGTATTGTATGGTCTGGATACAATGAAAAGTGTGCAAGGACCGCTACACCGACACTCGGTTATAATTTCAAATAAGCAATGATTCCTACATTACAGACGAATGCAGATAAATAAATTTGTTCATGAAATTAATATTATGATAGGATCTTGGGCTATAGATACTCGCACTGCTAAATTAATAGAATCAGTTGATATTATGATTCATAGAAAGATAAATATCTTTGGATCTTTTCTAAATAGGGCACAATGGAGAAAAATGTTTCAAGTAGCTGACCCCACTTAGTGGGATAAAGGTTTTGTTGTTATTGTTGCTGTTGTTGTTGAAGTTGGCCGAGTCCCCTAAAGCTATGGCGAATGAAATGAGTTGTAAGCTTTATTTATCCAAGAATATCTTACACATATATTATAGTTGGCATTGACAGTTTTATCAAAAAAAAAATTTATTCCAGTTTGTCAATTTTTCATTTATCTAACACTTATAATTGATTTGACTTATTTTTCTTGCAAAAAGAGGAGATTAACTAACAAAATGTTTAAACAACTAAGATTAAAGAGAAGATTGCAATTGATAAACAATATATTTGTAAGAGGTTAAATTGAGTTCATATATTAAAACGTGCAAAGTATACATAGCAAGATTCAAGTTTGCGTTCTCTCCATAATATGGTGAATATGTATAATGTCACTTGCATGCTTTCAGAAAAAAAATTATTAAAAAAA